CCCTTCTTACAGAAGTATAGTGGGGCTCATATTTATGTACACAGTGCAGCTAGCTAAGGTACGTATCCAAGCAGATAAGGGTTATCTAGCACCCCGCTGACGCAACTGGGTCAACCCTTGAAGCATGTGAGAGGTATTCGTTTCCCTTCAGTATTCTTGCATCACCCGCCTTTGCATCATTTTACTAAATCATCAATTTCCAATATGCCACCTTCCCATGAGATCTTGACGGACGAATATGTCGCCGAGCTGTTGGCAAAAGAAGCCGACGACTGCTCCTTGAAGTACTCGTCGATGGGTATGGATGCCTTCAAATCGAATAAGTGAGTCAAGGCACTGCAAAGTCGTGATACTACCACATTCTTTCTTTCTTAATTATCAAATTCACTCTGTATTCTTCTACTCTAATGCATTGCTGATGGCAATTACTGCAGGCGCCCAGCAAACCAACCCAAGCCGAACACCCGATTCCTCAACAATATCATTCGAGATACCAATAGCCATAACCGAGCGCTTCTCGCCAGGGAGAGCGCCGAATCCAAAGCTAGGCTGCGCAATCTTGACGAAGCCGACCGCCAGAAACGCGATGAAGACGAGCGCAGAGCCCGACGAGCCCGGCCCGGCCCCGGCGACACTCGGAAGCGCATGCTTGGCGACATTGCTGCTATCCTAGGTGGCCCATCTAAGAAGCGGAGGCCTAACGAGAGCGACAAGAAAGCCGCGAGCGTCACATCAGAGCAGGACGAAGTCGATACTACGCATGACCGCGATCGAAAGACCCGGCCTCGAGAGACCAGGAACCGAGACGACGACAGGAGCCGGAGTCGGAGAGACGACCGCCGTGCTGACTCTCGCGACCGTCATCGGCATTCCCATAGACACGAGGAAAGGCGTCGCGATCGCAGATCTAGTTCCGGTGAGAGACGAGAACATCGACATCGTGAACGTAGGGAACGGCATTCCCGAGAAAAAGACCGAGACGATGAACCCAGACAGCACCGCCGTTCAGGTAGAGAAGACACACATAAATCTACTCTCTCTTCAAGTAAAAACGCCGATTCCAATTCTGGTTCCGATCCACTTGACGATATCATTGGCCCTGCACCTCCTTCCAAATCCACTGTTCATCGCCGAGGCCGCGGCCATAACGCAGCCATGTCCGGCATTGACAGCCGTTTTGCCGCCGACTATGACCCTACTGTCGATGTGACCCCCGAACCGGACGAAGGTGGCCATGGTGATTGGGATAATGCATTGGAAGCGTTTCGAGACAGACAAAAATTGAAACAGCAACAAGCGGAGCGGCTCCGGTCGGCTGGCTTCACTGAAGATCAAATACGGAAGTGGGAGAAAGGGGACAAAAAAGACGAATCTGACGTGCAGTGGAACAAGGCCGGCGGCATGCGAGAATGGGATCGTGGGAAAGTGGTTGACGCGGGTGCCGGCTCGTCGGAGGAACACGAGTTTGGTCGATTAAAAGGCACTTGAAGATGTGGAGGACATCAACAAGAGTTTTTTTCATAGCATATCGCCCCTTTCCTCCTTGAATGCTTTCTGCATTGCTTCTTTTTTTTTTTTTTTTTTTTGAAGCGGACTTAGCGATTTTGGAATATCTTCAGTCCAGCATTGTGGTTCGCTTGCATCTTACGGCGTTTCGGTGCATCTCTAGCAATATGGAGTTTTGGTAGCTTAAGAACGAGGTATGTCTCAACTGGCGTGTTGTCAATACAATGGTGGTTGTTCGCTTGTCGGGTTACACTTATAGCTATGCGCACTCAGTCTATCTAGGAGTTCCCATGAAGAGAAAAACAATGTCATCCATCTCCCCCGCTCAGTCCCCAAAAAGCCGTCGCAGGCCAAAATTTGATCCTGAGTTCGACCCTGAGCTGGCGGGCGATGAAGCAAACAATCTTGAGATGCCGTACTCCGACGAAGAAAGGCGCACAGGCGAGCCGTTTACGGGACTTCTCACTTCCGGGGGTGTTGCAAATAGTTCTGCCAACCCATAATCGGGTGACATAGCTGGAGAGGGGACGGGGGACGGGACCAGGTATGGCGAAGTCGAGCGGGTTCTCCGATCTGGCGATGATGCGTGAAGGTTCCGAAGACCCATACTCGAACTGGAGAAGGATCTATATTCCCCCAGATTAGAAGAGGCTCTCTGCTCCCGATCACTACTCCGTCCTCGATCCCCCGGGCTCGGGTTACGAGACGATGGAGGCGTCACCGGCTTTGACCCGGCCGTGAGTAACTTGTGGCTTCGCCAGCTCAGTCTTCTCTGTCCCAAGTCATTGCCCAGAGTAGACGGGTCGCTAGACTCGGACAGGAACGGGCCCATAAATCTACGGGCGAAGATGGATATGGCGGAGGCTGAGCTTTGGTGGGAGTATCTCTGCGGATATACGCCCCCCACTGCTGGGGCAAACCGAGGGAACTCCTCAGCTGGCCTTTGCGGACTTGGCGCGGCGGACTCCACTGTCGCCGTGAACCGCCGGGTACTTCCCGGTCCCGATAACCTGGAATGCCACGAATTGTTGGCCGGCGACCTGCCGCCGTGCATGAAGTACGGCAGCGGCTGCCTCGTGCTGTCCACTCGTCTTCTGCCCCTATTCTTGTGGGATGGTTGGACACCGAACACCGTGCTTTCATTTTGTGTGTGTTGGGCCCCCGAGGGTTCCCTTGTAGGTGTTGCATTGCCAATATCGGCGCGTGGCGGAGCTGACTGCCCAGCCGAGCCCCCTGTTGGCATCGTGAACCTGAACAAACTCCCCAGCTTTCTCCGTAGAGAGGCGAAGAAATCCCGCACGACATATCTAGAGCGTCGTTTCTGACGCCGATGGTGCTTCTCGCGATAATGCTTCTTATGACGCTGTTTGCCTTGTTTCTGCCGAGGATGGTGTCCCCGCTGGCTTCCCTGGCTTCCCGTGTATAACTGGTCATCGTACGGTTGATCGTACTGCTGTTCCTCCTGTACAGGTATTCGAGTCAGCGGCGGCGCCGAGCTAGGCCGTTTCGAGGGAGTGTCTGATGATGCGTCTTTGGTCTCGGGACCCCTGGTTCTCTTGGGAGGGTCGGCCTTTTCTTCATCATCGAGCCGTTTCCATCCCGGTTCCTTCTTCTTCAATCTCCTTTCTTGCCTTTTCTCCCGCTTCCTCTTGGCCTCGTGTTCACGCTTCTCTTTTTCCGCTTTTGCTCTGATCATCCCGAAAAAGGAATATGGCGAGACTGGTCTCGGGGGATAGAACGGAGCCGGCTGCGGCCGGGGCGGTGGGATGGGGTCGTCCTGCTCCGACGGATTGCTGCTCTGTCGTGGTCGCGGGCGTCGCCGCCGCCGCCGCCTTCTGGCATTTGCTGTAGCTGGTGATGAGGATGGTCGACGCTTTGACCCTGGCGGTCGAGATGCAGGAGTCATGGCGTGCCCCTGCGTGGTGAAGTCTGGGGGAGGAGTTGGCGGCGGGTTGGCGAGATTCGTGGCCGTTAGAGCCTCGCTGTGCTCTTGACTTTGCTTTCGCAGCGCGTCTGCGATCACACTTGGGATGGATTGCCCATGCTGCCCACTCGATGGGATGTAGAATGGGATATCTCTGGGATGGACGGTTCGGCGAGGACGGGATCGGGATTGAGAACGGACCCGGGTCGGGGGTACAGTACGGGAGTGAAGTCGGACAGAACTACTCCTGGTCCTTCTCGCAGGTCTGCTTCGGCTGCGACCTCGACGGCTATGGGGCGATACTCCGGGTTTGGATTGGTGAGAGCGACGATGGGGGTGATGGTGTGGCTTGGTCTGTTTCGGTTGCTTAGGGGACATAGTTGCGACTCTACAGGATCACCCTGCCATAGCTACATAAAGGAGGTCAAAAGGAGAAGCGGGTGATGACCAGACAGATACAGGAAGACCAAGATATTTAAAGATCTACGTTATTGATCACTGTGCAGAAAGAAGGAACCATTCATCGCTTTTCACCTCACCACGTCGCGCACGCAAGTCAGCTGCCTCGGCGTCGTAGCGAAACATGACTATAGATACCATCTGTATGGACAGGAGGTGGAAAATGTAAACACGCCTTTTTCCCAGCACACATCGTCGACGTGAGCGAACGAACGAACGGCCGGCCGATTCGACCATTAATATACGACATATACCACTCGCTGGCATAAACAAAACAAAACGCGTCACAGTCGAATGGGAGAAGACGTCGGGCTTGGCTGCTTTGCACCTCTACAGTACACAATCAATCAATCAATCAATCACTACGGCTCCTGACTCTCTTCCAAAGCAAACTACCGTCGCACGCACGTGTAGCCAAGTGATTCGCCCCGTCTCCGACGACCGAATCGGAGATCCCGTAGCTCTGTGCGACTTTGACGCGGCGAAACAAGAATACAAATAATTAATAAAAGTAAGAAAAAAAGAAATAGGTAATCAATGAGAGGATTAGGTAGATGAAATACACGTCGTCTCAAGTAGAATGTAGTTTCAGCCTAGATCTCGTATGTAGGTCGTGACTGGGCAGCAAAAATGCTTGCGGAGTTGGGTGAATGGATGGATGGAAGGCCGGAGGACGGGGGATGGTTGACTGGATTATGCAATGCATGATGTCGTGTGTGTCACGGTCTGTCGTCAAATCATTTTCGATAGACCGGTTCCATGTATGGTGTGATGGATACGATACGGCCCTCCGAGTCTCTTGGCTACTGCTGTTATTTATCAAAACAATGAGCCTGATCGGAGAGTTAGGTATTACCTGCATTTAGAGGCCCAGGCCTCGAGGTCGGGATGCCGAGCCCGATGTTGACATTCGTGTTGCTTTCTTCTGCCTATTCATTAGTAGCATGCCTAATAAGGGGCTATGAGGACGAGAACACGACGTTACCTTCTTGATAAGTAGGCATGAATGTTTAGAGAATGGAGTTTACTGTTGCGTGGATACATAGAAACATAGATGCAGTTAGACTAGCAAGCGTTCAACCAGGAGATTTACGCCTCCATCGATTTCACGGGTCTGGTGGTCTAGTGGTATGATTCTCGCTTAGGGTTAACCTTAAGAAAATATGCGAGAGGTCCCGGGTTCAATCCCCGGCCAGACCCTATTTTTGCCTATCTGTCCCCTTCAACTTGCTCAAACGGCTAGTTCTATACTCCGAGTTCGTAAGTTTTCCTATGTATATAGATCATTTTAATTCTGTTTTCCTTAACTTTTTAACTACAGTTGGGTTTCAAACCATTGCGGTATGTGTAAGCCAAACCAGAGTTTAAGTAAATACTTACCTACGTGCGTGTTTATATAAACACCAAGTTCCCGCAATATATATAGCCTGGGACAAAAAGTCCTAAACTATTAAAACTTTAAACAATTAGTTAGTCCCTTTTGGAATGTCAATCAAGTCTATTTATCTACTAAGGGCAGAGGTAAATATACTTCACAACCAACGCTGTTAGACATGAATTTAGTTGTTGCATTTTTAACGTAAAGTATACATACACTACGTTAGCCCAGACTGTTTGTTCCATGCTAAGGAACGAGAGAGTTGCGATGTTGTAACGGGAACGATCCATTCTAACCCGGGAGGCAGTCTTCTTCAACCATGATGAAGAGAACTGCGCAATTAAAGAGTGTATCAGTGTAGCGCATCATATCTTGATCGTTGACTAGGCTTCCCCCGATCGGAGATACATGGTATGACGGCTACGTATTTGTCCGCATGACCTGTGTTATTTGAGTATAAATTATTCGGGAAAATTTTCATTGCGCCTATGAAGATGTGCTATTTCTGGCAGCGGAGGCAACATCACCTTAAGCCCAGATTCAAGTCAACGATTGATCAAGCTCTATGTAGACGACCGTTCTCCAACCACAGGGCACACTCCTCCCCAAGCTTTTGCTTAGCCCTTTCCAAGTATCGCCTGTTGTCATCCTCTGACAAGATGTCTTTCCAGCGACCGTTTGTACCCTTGTGGACTAACAGGAAGCAAGAGTTAGCCTTGTGCACCAGCATTGAAATGATTCCCAAGCGAATTGATCTTGAAGGTGCTATGCTCAACAAATGGCGGTTGAATGGGAAATGAAGAAGTGGAATATGAAAATACGAACTGAAACTCTGTGGACCCTCTTCCCAGGCTACTTCTGCCTGTGGAGGCGCCGCAAGTTCGGCGTGAGCTTTCATCCAGTCGAAACTACAATGCTCAAGGGCTGCCTTCCACTGCTCATCAGGCATCTCAGGAATCTCCAGGAACTTGGCTATTCTTCGCATTTCTCCTTCCAAATCCGCCTTTAGATCGTTGAAGTGAACCAAAAGCAAGTTCGGCTGATCTCGCGCCTCCCACCATCCGCGGATATGATCCCAGAACGGCCACCCAAACTCAGGCTTCATATCGCCTTCGCCTTCGATAAGTTGAGCAAATAGGTCTCTGGGATTATCAGTTGGCCGTGGTAGCGCAGGCCCGACACGACCAGGAGTGTCGTTGATGATCTGGTAGAACTTATCCGTCGCAGCGAAGAGGTGGTTGTGCATACTCCACATTGCGTCTCTCCCGTCGCGGGCACAGAAGATGTATTTCACCTCTGGCTTCCATACGAGAGCATCGATAGGTAGATGTGACTTCATAAAACGTCTGCTAGTCTGCGCCTCAAGCATTTGGGTCAATGCTTCACGCGGTATGACGCGCAGTTCGACCCATGGTGATATCGCATTTGGAGCCACTGTCTCGTCTCCTGCATGAATCAGTTGCGAGACTATTTGCTGCATCCACTACACATAACCACGTTAGTAAATTCCCCGAGTTAGTTTAAGAGGGTGCATATCACACAGCTCCTAAACACGCATGAATTTCCAATTCTTGAGCATGACGTCCCTCATCAATGATCGGTGTAGGACACAGAACTAGGTACTTAGATCTACTCACTGTTGTGCCGGCCTTGGGATATGTTGATATAACAATATCATCTGGTCGAAATTTCACTAGAGTATCATTGGTTAATCATGGTGTTGAAGAGTGACTGAACTGTGTATTTCAGAAACATGCAAGGTTGTCATCTAGTCTGAGTGCACCTTCGCAAATTTACGGTCTTGTTTGAAAACTATGAAAAGGGGGCGATTGGGATGGGCTATAAGTCACTTACGGTCGTTCCATGCCGTGGAGTCCATGTGGTGAGTGTGCACCTCGCGTGACTTAGTAGGCATTGAGTGAGCTGTGCCGTTAGTGCTGCATGCAGCTTGGGGGTTGCTAGACGACGCCATGTTGGTACCGTCGAGAATAGTCTAACTCGATTGATCTCGATCACGGGCTCTGAGCTGTTTCAAAGCGGAGTATTGTAGTAACTTGACAAGCTTGATAGTCTTTTTGTGGTATGCAATCTATAAGGGTGAGTGGAACCTCGTGATTTAGGTAGGGGAGAGACACTTTTTGCCACGAATGTCACGGAAACCTTCGCGGGCATTTATCTGACTATATACGTGTCCTGTCACAGAGTAATACGTGAGGTTTGTGGATCGGCCCCTGAGTCAGTCAAGTTGTGTAAGCATACACTAAGCGGTTGGTGCACCATGCAGCTACCCCGTGCAATCAGACTTGATCAAATTGGCACAAGTTGAGTTAAAATTTAGTGTAACTAGTATATAGTACAGCTGGGCTGAGTATACCCGCTGTTGACATTCGTTATATTCCGAGAGGGCCCTTAATCTCATATAAGTTATAGGTAATTAGCATAAGAAGCCATAATAACTCTGGATCTAGGCAGCTCCAGTCATCGCGGTGAATTATCCAAACAGGTGCAGTTGAATTGCTACAGTTAAGACGATAACTAATGTTGCAATCTTCGAAAGGAATGAGGTAATCGACTATGGACCTCGGTCTAAGCTCGAACTAATTACGGCATTGGGGCTAGCTTGATGTAGCCTTACCGAGTCCTAGTGGATATGGCTAAGCATATAATACATATACGTATGTATTAGGAGAGGTTTTAATATAGGTCCTTATCTTGAATACTGTCTAGTGCTCACCTAAGACGTACCACGACGGTTGGCATCACGATCACACCTACATTCCGTTTTGTGCTGCCCTGTTGATTGTTTGTGCAAATATCATGGCCGGTACCGAATACGCCGACGTCGTACATCCATGTACGGAGTTTTGTCCGGAGCTTCTGATGCCATATTTCCAGGGCAGGAGATACATTGATGAATTTTGACATATGATCCAAAAGCTTTCTTATACGTTCTTAGAGACATGGAAAGTCGCTTCACTTATACGGTATTGTGATCAACAATTGCACACTTAGCTAATTTCAAGTACTCAATATGTACTAGGTGATACAATCGACACCAACAAAGTAGGTGTTAAGTTGCAAATTACTGTATTCGTGATACAATGTTCCCGCTGGTATCACGGTAAGAACAAACTTTGTCGTAGGAATGCCTCTTTCCATTTCCTGTCAAAATTGCGCTCTGGGAGTTCAACGCAGAAACCTGACAGTGTAGTTTATTGCTCGAGCTGCCTCCTATTCTTTGGCATTTTCAACGAAGAATAACTTGACACTTGATTGCAGCGGCTATCTGGATCGGTGTCGCGTTTAAGCTTTACACACACCACTTAACGCTCAAAGCAAAGCCCTATCCTACCCAAAGATATCGAACTTGATCTCCACATATAGCAACTGAGAGTTACTTTGAACTCATTTTCAACAATGACTTGTCTTGATCACCTCAGGGCCTATAGTGTTACTACAAGAGGTGAAAATACGGCGGCATGACGCTATCTTCTCAGGCCTACAGTAATGCAAAGTCACTTGATGATAGGTGGTAAACTGTCACTATGCCCCAAGCTATACACTACTGATATAGGCTCATCGGCGTAGCTAGACCTTTACTTTTAGTGAAATGACAATAATCACCACTGGACTTACCAGCAGTAGGAAGACTCATAACTGGTTAACATTTCGGACCTTCAGCAATCTCGGACACAGAAGGTTTTGTGGTGTTGAGTTGCTTGTGACTATTGTTTGTTGTTACCCAAATATCCGTAGGGCCCTGGTCTCTATTCAAGCTTCACTGAAATGGCTGGGGTAGTTGTTTTACTCACTTGTGTATTTTTGATGTCTGGGTCGTACTTGGATTGGACATGTAAGTGCAAGGAGCTAACTATGGGTGTATAATAAGACTTTATTGTTGTTCAATGGTCTCCAATAGGCTTTAAAATACCTTCAAGCTGTATGCAATCTCAACTTCCTTGGTTTATATCATAAAAGTAAGATGTTACATACATACGCATCGTGCTATAGGCTCATTTCCTCTACATGGAGATAGTAACAGACGGTGCTGCTGCCGTGGCCGCCAAGCGCTGTAGGGAAAGAGACAATTCTGTGTCTATATATAAATCGCAAGGAGAAAACGACGAGGTTTATTCTGCTGATATCAAACCACTACGAATCCTCAGAGCATCTTGATACGCATAAAAACCACAACTTCATTATTGTTGTCGCTGTCGATTACAATAGCTTCAACATATATGTCCTTCAACATTGCACGTGGATGCTTTGGGAGACATATTCGGGAATTGAAGCTATATGAAGAGCCACGCAAAATGGGTAGAAGTTCTACAGGACTCAAAGAGAGATAGTGTACGAGCTTAGAGACCCGACGTATGAAGCAGAACGGTTGATCTACAACAATCCCTTCACCGCACTTGTGTCGTGGTCTCTGGCTCATGGTTCGCGCTAATTACGGCTTACGCGTTCTCTTCAATTCATGAAGCTGTGCTTCGGCGGACTGATTCCATTGTCAGTGATGATCGGAAGCAGAATCGGAAGTAATCTTGCGTAAGTCAATACGTACGAACGAACAATATTACCAGCCATCTGACCAGCCCGGTACTGAACCCGGAATCTCGAACGGCGGTTCTGTATGGAACTTGCGCAGGATTGAATGTGGTTGGTCTGGAAAAGTGCCAAGTGTCCGTGGATACCGGCTAATACGTTGGAAAGATCGGCGTGCTGAGCCTGTCAGTGCGTTGACCTTTCCTCGTGTTCGGCGCTTAGCGTTTGGGTCACCAAGAGACCCTCCCGAGAGCCGCCGTGAAGTTATAGTTTGAAC